CATTGGCCGCCCCCGCCGTCGCGCAAGGGAAAGCCGCCGCCTGATTGGCGGAGGCGGGAGGGAGGGGGCGGGGCGCGAGGCCGACCGCCAGAACCGCGCCGCGAAGCATGACGGGAGCTCCCCTCCCTCACCCGACCCGCGCGCGCGGAGGATCATGGGAACTCGGGCCTACCCCCCCTAAAAAACCCCCAAAAAACAGAGAAAACGGGAAAAAAAAAAGAAAAAGAGTTTTATTGGGTGGGGGGGAGTGGAGGGGGGGGAAGGCTGGCACCACTACCTAGATAACTGCTTGTTAAACCACAGCGCAAGGTCAGGGCTCCAGGACTCGCGGCGTTTGCAGCCAAGGCTGACTGGGGGTAACCCCACACCCTCACCACACACTACACCGACCCACGGTCCGTGGAGCCACGCTGCAGTCACAGCAGGGAGCTGAGCCAGCCTAAAAACCCACCTTCTGGCAGCTTCCTCAAGCTGGATCTGTCCCTTGTAGCCCCACATCCACTACACCAGCAAAACTCAGAGGGATGCGCAACGCCGCACAGGGCTAGAAAGGAGCAGGCAGAGTATTTTAAAGCAGGAAAAGTCCTCAAACGCTTTACACTCCCAACCAACCGCCTGGGTAATTTGCATTCAAAGGCTGAATTTGCCTCAAAGACCTGTCCTTCTGCACCCAGAAAATCTGCAGCCTTCTGCAAATCCACCCCACGGGGAGGGGTCCCGCTGCTGGACCGGCCAGTGGGACATGAGCTCTGACAGGTTTCTGCAGGCAGGGTTTGAGCTCGGTGTTATTAAGCCTGCCTGACACTGGCCACTCATAAGACCCTTTTTCCAGTTGGCTCAGACTTTAACTATCGGAGCTGAAGTTTCCATGCTGGGTGCCTGTCTCAGCCCGAATTCTTCCGGAAATCTTTAGCCAAAACAGTTCGGCTACTTGTGAGAATGAGGCTAGGAAACAAGATAGTGGCTTACCCTTGTTAGAAAAAAAAAACACTTACAACCTTTTCCTTGAGCTAATCTAGCAACTGCAAATCCTGGAAAGGGGATCTGAGATTTTGCTGCAGAATAACCTTTTTAACAGAGAGTTTTCCTGTCCTACTAGAAATCTGTCCGCACTTGGCCAAGCTATAAACATCTGAAATACAGCAGTTTTTCCATATTCAATAGGAATTCATTTCAGCAGCTAAAACCTTCTAAGATTTCCCCTCCTTGAGCATGCTCCATCTTCCCACCTCCCTTACATCTAGCCGCCCTTACACCTAACCTGTGTTACACTCAGCAGAGCAACTGCCCTGCTCCCATCCAGCAGGCGAGGACCTCCGAAAAAATGTCCTCGTACTACTCACTGCTGCTTGCTGCGAGCTGGAGATTGGACCCAGACTCCTCTAAAGTGGTGCCCGGGCTATCTGCTCTGAAGCAGAGTCCAAGAGCAAGAGGAGGGAAAGGGGATGGAAAAAAAGGGAGCTGATGAGCATCAGACTGCGAGCACAGAGAGAAAGCAACCGGGAACCAGCGATGGGGGGTTTGTCTGAAGATCACAAAACCCCTCTGAGCTGTAGAAGAGTCCTCCTGCTTCTTCACGTGTAGGAAAGAGAAGTTTTTCTCTCCAGCTGAGCCCTGGTGTGCACGGAGAGCGCTGTTTTTCTACCAGGAGGCAGTTTCCTCTGCTGAGAGCCTGGGGAGCGGCAGCGCCCTCTGCGAGTGTCTACCTGGGCTCCAGGCTGCGTCCCACGCAGGGGCTGCGGGCTCTGCTCCCACCCAGCCCAGCTGTGGCCATAAATCTACCTGCTTCGCCGAGGGAAGGGTGCACGGGGGGGGGAAAGGGAGAGAATGGAGAGAATGGGGACTTTTGTAACGGGGAGAAATTTGTGTTTCTCTGAGAACATTATATTCATGGAAAACATAAACCAACTGTCGTCAAAGTCGTCTGAGCTCAGGAAATGGAGCGGCCGGGAGAAGGCTGCCATGTGGCCGGATGTTATGTATTTCTAATTAGTGCTATACATCTTTCAGCAGCGAGTGTCCTTTTGCTGGGAAACACAACGCGCTGCCCTTGTTATTGTAACTGTCAGAGAGTGCTTAAACAGATAATCTCCAGGAAAAGTGATAAACACATCCCCTCTCCCACTAGGGTGTGCGAAACAGCGATGCCAAACCTCTATTAGGGCAACGCAACCAGCCGCAGGAAATGGGAATGGGAAAAGAGCAGGCGATGGAAGGGACAGCCGCCTCCGAGGAGAGGGATTTGCTGGAGGAAGCTTCTCGCAGCCGCTCGAGTGCCATGTGCCGAAGGAAATCCTGCGAGGGACAATCAGGGCAGAGCAAGCGCAGGCCACGTGTCCTCAGCCCGGGGCTGGTGGGGGGGGGACTGGCAGGGATGGGGTAGGGGGGGCTGGAAGTGAGGGCTCCCAGCTGCTCCGCTCCGAGTGCGCCCTAGGCAGTGGTGGAAGCGAGCCACAGCAACCCACAGCAACCCCTCAAGCTCCCAAGCAAGCAGCAGACATGCTCCTACATCCGTCCCTGCTCAGGGGAGCCCCACCACCCCCCAAAACCGACCACCCCACGGCAGGGACAGATGTGGGGCACCCCCTGGGACACCCCCAAGTGTGGGGCACTCCTCGTGTGTGGGACGCCCCCCAAGTGTGGGGCACCCCCCAATTACAGCCCCCCCTAAATGTGTGGGGTGCCCCACCTGGGTGCCCTCACCCCCCAAAACCCAGCACCCCAGGGCAGGGACAGATGTGGGGCACCCCCCAAGTGCATCCTCCCCCCAAATGTGTGGGTCGCAGCGTCCCCCCCGATGTGTGGGGCGCCCCACCTGGGCCTCCCCCTCGCCGTGGGGCTCGGCGTTGGCCGCCTCCTTCAGCAGGTTGGGGATGACGTCGTTGGCGATGTCAAAAAACTCCTTGTAGATCTCCTCGTCCTCCCGGCAGTAGTTGTAGCTGTGGGGCAGAGACAGAGCTGTGGGGCAGCCCCATAGCGCCGGGGGAGGGGGGGGCAGAGAGCTGTGGGGCTGCCCCATAGCGCGGGGGGCTGGGGGAAGTGGGTCCCTCCTCCCCAAGAGGGAGACGGAGCTCGAGGAGGGAAGGGGGAACCCGGGAGAGCAGGGGGGTGACCCCCAACTTCCCAGCCCCATGGCTGCCCCACAGCCGCCCC